TTGTAAACACTTACGGATTCAAAGCATCAGATATGCCTAGATCTGGACTGTACCAGGGCTTCTTGGACAATAGAGCAGCAGCTGGGATGAGCCTTGCACACGCAGGCCACCCCTCAGATTTTTTCAGGGTTTGCATAGGTGGATTACAGAGTTGGCAGATGAAAAGCATACCCTGTCTGCAGGGGTGAAAAAAATAGCAGGGTTAGCACGTCATTTGCTTTCATACTTCCCATTCCTTCCTGTCAGAGAATGCTCTTGGGAACCCAAGGATTTCATTGTTTACAGTAATTTCCAGGCTTAAAGTTAGGCAGATAACCTTGAAAACAAAAGTGTGAACCAGTAAACTGATGAAAATATAACACCGATAACGTGGGGACAGTTTCTGTTCACTCCAGTGTGTCCTAGAGTTTGAAATCAAGAGAAGAGTTTAAATAGTAACATTGCTGGTCACTTCAAAACAGATGAATTTTAACAGATATTTTCTCTTAATCTTCTCTCTCAACTCCACATTACTTCTCCCAGTGCCAAGAGTCTCAATTGTTTCTGCTCCGGATGATAAAATCACAAATTCTCACTATGGAAATACTTTTTAAAAATCACTTCAGTAATTAAAAATGATACTGGAAACCAAAATTCTCTGGTATATAATATATTAAATTTAATAACAAAGGTCCTTATTGTAATTTTTTAAGCGATCATTAAAAAACACACTGTATTTTTACTTTGTAGATATTCTGGATTGAGCTCCTTGTTTATTTGAGGTACAGAACTGGGACTTTGAGGTTTTGCATCTGATTTCTACAGTCAGATTAATTAAAACAAGTTCTAGAACCTGAACTGAAACAAGTTCTTATAACCTGAATTTGTCTTCATTATGGATCTAGCATTCCAGAAGTTCTTATAACCTGAATTTGTCTTCAGGTTATATGACATTATGGATCTAGCATCTCCAAAGATTACACTTCTGGAACTATCTGCCTAATTGCTTTGTTTGGGGCTGTTATGTATGTTGACAGGAATGATGACATGTGCATACAAAGGTCTTTCTATTCTGCCATGTCTCAGTGTTTTAGGCAATATTAGGTTCATTCTCACTGCTGAGGTTTCATAAAGCTTGTAGATTTCTTTATAGCAATAGGTAGCTTGTGCTGTTCTGGTGCCCAGAACAATCTGTACCCTCACCTCTAGCAGCTCCTCTACCCCACTGCAACCAGTCAAATATAATTTGCTTGTAATAAAATGCCTGTGGAAGGAAATCTTTGGGTGACATCAACTGAACATGTTTGAAAAATGTGCAGACTCTAATCACCTTTTGCTAATCAACCCAATCATTGTTTGTCCCTTAGGTGTGAAACGTAGTCCCTCAGAGATGGCAGAGGGTGATGTTGATGTTGCCAGTAGCTGTGGTCCATATTACATAAACAATCTGAGTTACTCAGAGGAAAATTTCGACAAACTAGTGAAACTAAGTGACTACAATGTCCAGAATAACAAAGACTTGATTCTTCAGGCCTTGCGCACTGCAGTGGAGAGGAAAAAGCAGCGTAAGAAATAGCTACCACTGCAAATATCATGCAGTGGTGATGGCATGTGTTTTACCCCAGCATGCTGCTGACTGTCCAGCATGAGGAAATACAGAATAAAATATCTAAGCCCTGTTCCGAGTCATCAAGCAACTCGATCAGAGAACGAAGAACAGCCAAAGAACATGAAGAGGAGGACTCCGCTTGTTACCAAAAGTTCTCCAGCCTGTCTGTCAGCGAACGGAATAAGCACAAAAAGCAAAACTCCTCCCTAATGAATTAATGTGTTTCCCTTGTTGAAAGCCTCAGCAATGTGGCCATGTGAGGCTGTACTATGCTCTTACTTGCAGAAACAACCTTTCAGTCCAAGGCTGAAATATATGTACAAGGAAACGTGAGGAAATTGATGTTGACAGTGTTTGTGCTCTACCTGCTCTATAAAAAGAGATTTTTAAGCCCAGAAGTCCTTTGGTTCCAAAACATCAACAAGAAGCCAATTTGTGAACTAACATGTCTTTATGTGAATGTAAATAAATAAAAAAAATTATCTAATAAAATAACTTTCTGGTGCCTGAAATACATTTATTTGCTGTAATGGATTTTTCTTCTTTTTGGATGCAATAAATGTTACAGCAGTTTGTTTTCAAATATATTTTTTCTGCTTGGAGAGAAAAAAAAAAGAAAACATGCAAACTGACTGCACAGCTGCTGAGAAAATCCTGAAGAAGAAATGAGGCTTGCTCTAGACCGAGATGCAAACTACCTCAGGATCCGGAGACAGTTTGAGTTTCAGATTTCATTTAAAGCCCATCTCTCTAAGAACTGACTCACATCGATTTATTTAGTTAAATTTGATTTAAATGTTACTGGTACCTACTGAAGGCTTGAGACTCTAAAGCTTTTGAGAATATTACATTTAAAAATCCATGTACACGTGCATTAGGCAAAGTAGATCTAAAATTACATTTCTAATACCACTCACCCAAGTTACAATATCTTCCTCTTTTTTTTTAAACTTGCTATAGCTACTCCAGCTAAAGTGAATAGAAGATCAACTTTCAGACTGCGGTCACTTTTGTCATCATGCTAACATGCTCCTTTCATATAAGCATTTCATTTTCCTGAGGGAGATATTGCAGGTTTAGCAGCAGCTGGATAACAACCTGGAACCGCAGCTGAATTCTGCAAAATGCTGGACATCACCTGAATGAATCCAAGTTCTCTCAGGGATTGTAAAGAGGGACATATTTCTGTATGGACAGAGTCTGAGAATTGGAAGTAATCTGCAAAATGAAAGATAATCCTTTATAAGCCTATCTTCTATATTGCACATATACCTGAGAGAAATATATAGAACAAAGCGAGAGAAAGGGAGGAATAATTAATTTGGTTGTTGGGCAAAAATAATAAGGTATCCCTTCTGAGTAGACAAGAATGTTTCTATGTTTCTAGTTTTCTAAGTTCAGAGCTGCTCTATATTCAAAGCTGAATGTAGTTTGAGTGCTCTATTTGAGAAACAGAATCCCAAGTTTCCGTATATATTTTCCTGGAATTAGTTTAGCTTTTATTCAATTTTCCTCTTTAAAAAAAAAACATATTAGAGGTCTTGTTTCTACAAGCCTGTGGCCCTTTGATCTGTTTCCTAGAGGCTTTCCTGCTCTTTGGTTCCACTGTAGTATCTTTTGTAAAGAAAACTTGATATTGTGGGCCTAAAATAAGCCTGAAAAATCCCATTGCCTTCAAAATCTGGGGTCTCCTCCTAGGTGGCTCAGAGATGTGACTCTTCTGTTTACCTCTTAGGTCAACTAATGCTGTAGAGGAGCCTGCACAGCTCCTGCTTGGACTATGTGTCCCAGGGTTTGCCTCCCGTGGAAGCCAGGGAGCAGCAAAGGAGGTCATGCTGGTGCACGCTGCATCTCACAGTGTGGAACTGGATGTAGCCAAAGGGTGCAATAAGACCTGGGAATTTGGAAGCACTCCCAGGTTCCCATATAGTGCTAGTTTTATTGTCTGAAGGGCAAAAATTATCCCACTGACAGCAGGAAGCATCCAGGCAGGAAGTTTAAAGTCAAGCAGGACTAGGTGTGTAAGTGCACACACTTCCCTTGCCTGCCCGCCGCTTCCCAGGAGCCACGGAGGGGTCATGGGGAACAATGAGCATTTACCTCATTTCAGAAGTGGAACTGCCAAAATAATTCAGTATCTCTGAATTCTCTAAATTCAAAAAGAATCTAGAAGAAAGCCACAGGGATGATCAAAGACGAATCATCTTCCACACAGGGGGTAAATAGATAAAGCATATGCAACCTAGAAAGAGGGCAACATGAATGAGAGGGGAAGACTGAAAATCCGATTTTGGTCTGAGGGAGATGGACAGGCAATGACTGTGCATCTTCCTTCTAACAGAAGACCATGAAGGTATCAAACAAAAACAATGTGTCAGGTTCAGAGTAAAAGAAGGTAGTTCCCCACCCAGCAAGTGGATCTTTGGCCCATTTTGGCCCATCTGTGGACCTCTTGTCACTGGATGTTGCCATTGCTAAGTTTACACAGGTTTAGCAGAGTAGTATAACTACATTTAACAAACTTGGGGGGATGGAGGAGAAGGCATCAAAAAAATAGGATGAATGTGAAACTGAACTTGAGCAAAGGGGATTTCAAAAAAATGAGGAAGCAAGTCAACAAGACCCTACATAAAGTGATGTAAAATCTTTAGACTCAGCATGGAAATTGCAAAAAAAAAAAAAAAAAAGTTGCAAAACATATGCGCTGCCCTAAATAAAGTGTGAAGCAAGAAACCAAGAAAAGGCCAAGTGGCTGAATGCTAAGAGGCTGAGCACTGCTAAAACCTGACATCTGCTCTGGAAGGAGCAGCACAGGGAAGCCAGACACGGAAAGGGCACATCCAAACCTGCTGATGTGTTTAGAAAAGAGGAGGAAGAAATAGAGGAAAGGGCACATGCACGATGGAAACTAGGAGGAGGATTGTGAAAAGGAGATAGCGGAAAATCTGTAGACAGCTGAGTCGGTAGGCGTGCTGGACCAACTCAATGCAATTACTATGATGGGAATGTTGCAAAGAAGCCAAAGATTTTATGTGTGTCACAGGAACTATGTGCTTCTGACATAATGTTTATGCACAGATTTAGTAAAAAAATCCCACTTTTTTTTTTTTAACTGTAAGCCCAAGTCCTTACTCAAGAGAGTACAGATAAAGCTTTCATGTCAGAGAAATATTTATTCATTTTACTCATGTCTTAGATCTGTTGGTGTATGTTTTTTGTTTTGCCTTTTTTTTCCTTCTCCATTAAAATTTGAGGTGAAATTAACAAAAAAGATGATCTACTGAGGTGGAAGAGCTCAGGCTAAAACCGATGTCTGTATGTGCTGCAAGACGTTAATGTCATAGTGAGAAGGTTCACTGAAAGCAGGAGAGAACAAGGTGTCTAAACGTCGCAGTTCACCCGCTGCGCCGTCATGCAGTCAGAAGGGGAGAAAACAAAAACAACAACAAAAAAAGCGAGGACAGGGCTTCGCCCAAACCCTCCCCGAGGAAAAGAGAAGCCCTCCTCGAGGAAGGGCGCCGGGGAGAAGGGAGCCGCCGCCCGCCTGGGGCTGCGTCAGGGCGGGCGCCTTCCC